TTACCTAGCCTGGTAACGAAATGTTCAAAAACCAACTCCCAAGCTTGAAGAATCAACCTTCACCCTCACATATGTTACTTTCAAGGTTTGAACTTTGAGTCTCTTTTCTCTCTTCTTGAGTCTGTGGGATCCTTGGTGCGGTCTGAGCTTGGTGGTTTTCTTGCAGACATCAGTACCGATGATGGTACCTAATTTTGTAATGAAACATCTGCAAGAAAACCACCAAGCTTGGAGGCCATCAAGAATCCCACAGTTCAACCGAGCTACAAATATCCTCTTTTCTATCAGAATCTCTTTCCGCTATTGTTTTCTACCAACTGGTATTTAAGGCTTCTAAAACACTAGTTATTATAACTAGTAGTCATTGGCAACCTCATTTTTGAGGAATCGTTCCAATCCTCTTTCACAAATATCCAGGTATTAAAGACAGTTAGGTACATATTTTATGGGCTAAATGATTTCCTTGATTTTTTAAAATACATTTTTAAAAGATCTACTGTATGTTACACCCGGCTTGATGGTTTATTTTATACAGGTAATCTTCGACTTACAACCACAATTGAGCCCAAAATTTCTGTCGTTAAGTGAGACATTTGTGTGAGTTTTGACCCACTTTACAACTTTTCTTGCCACAGTTGTTAAGTGAATCACTGCAGCTGATAAGTTAGTAACCTGGTGGTGAAGTGAATCTGGTTTCCCCATTGACTTTGCTTGTCAGAAGGTTGCAAAAACGAATCACATGAACCTGGGACGTAAGTCCCATTTTTCAGTGCTGTTGTAACTACGAATGGTCACTAAACAAACTGTTGTAAGTCGAGGGCTACCTGTATTCTACTAATTTGCAGAAGTTATGATTTACAGGGGCTGCACAAGTACAAACCTGAGCGTGATTTGACCCAACCAAACATTTCTCTCTCTTCTTCCGATGGTTATAAAAACATCAAATGTGACAGCTTAAATTAGAATTGTGCAGAACATTATGACGGAAATGTTTTGTCCCCAAACGTCCAATTCTGACTTCCCCCGAAGTATCACAAACTCTTCTCCTGATTTTATGGGAAATGATTTGACCTTGAAATGGGAATAAGGCATTTGGGAGAATGTTTCAGCTTTGAAATGGCTTCATTATTTCTACTTTAGGTGCAGATATGAAAGGCTACAGGAAAAAGGTAGGTTGATGCAGGTGCGGTGGCTTTATTTATTGTATATATAAAATTAAGTAATCGTGGCTAAATCAGTACATGGTTTAGCTTAGTACATTATTTGAACCTGGCCAGGTTGAGGCAGAGAGAGTTCAGCAAAGGTCAAACAAATTCTCAGAGCTTATTCTTCCATCCAGATTACTGTGGCATTAATACTGTGTGTGTCCCGACAGTTAGCAACTGGTGGTTAATTTTGCTCATAAAAATGTCCGTGCCATAAAAACGCCAATAATTAAGCTCTGTGCCTAAGGAGCAGCTCTTACATGACCCGCTGAAAAGTTGGTAAGCTTCAGGAAATATTTGTAACAGTGACAAGTCATGATGACTTAACTAGATTGATTGCTTTTGGTTTGGGATTGGGGCAGGATGGGGCCAGGGAGGGATGGGGATCAGCCCATCCTTGCGGAAGAAATCCAATTTCTTGTTAACTTGAGTACAGGTTGCCTAGCAAACGCTAACTTTTCTCCAGTTTCTCATCACTTTAGACCAGGGGTAGTCAACCTTGGCTCTTTTATGACTTGTGGACTTCAACTCCCAGAAGTCCACGAGTCATAAAAGAGTCAAGGTTGACTACCCCTGCTTTAGACAATGTGCATAGCAATGCCCTGTAATTACATGTTTTCGAAACAAACTGCAGTCAAGCAAGACAAGTCAAATTGAAGCATGAGCCTGCTAGTTCGTGATTTTCCAGCCTCAAAGCAGTGTTAAGAGGGATGTTTCCAGCATACAGCTCTGAAATACTTATAATAAAGAACTACAGTTCTGCTAGCCAGAAGTGGACCGAGTTTGTTTTTTCTCTGTTGCTCCCTTTTAAGCATCTTTGTATCAGTAGCTCTTCCACAGTCCCAGCGCTTGTGTGAAAATATTGGTATAGTTAATTTTAAAAAGCTCTGTTTAAATCAGCAGAGGAGCTGTGGCATCAGCAAATCCTTAATTTCCTTGGACAGCTGCCATAGTCTTAACCCACGTTGAATATTTTACTACTTCTGCTTCAACTGACTATGCTAAAGCTTTTGATTGTGTGGATCACAACAAATTGTGGCAAGTTCTTAAAGAGATGGGAGTACCAGACCATCTTATTTGTCTCTTGAGAAACCTATATGTGGGTCAAGAAGCAACAGTGAGAACTGGACACGGAACCACTGATTGGTTCAAAATTGGGAAAGGAGTCTGGCAAGGCTGTATACTGCCGCCCTGCCTATTTAACTTATATGCAGAACACATCATGAGAAAGGCAGGGCTAGATGAATCAAAAGTTGGAATTAAGATTGCCAGGAGAAATGTCAACAACCTAAGATATGCAGATGATACCACTCTAATAGCAGAAAGTGAAGAGGAACTAAAGAGCCTCTTGATGCGGGTAAAGAAGGAGAGTGCAAAAGTTGGCTTGAAACTCAACATTAAGAAAACCAAGATCATGGCATCCGGCCCTCTCAATTCCTGGCAAATAGATGGGGAAGAAATGGAGATAGTGACAGATTTTATTTTCCTGGGCTCCAAGATCACCTCAGATGGGGAGTGCAGCCAAGAAATTAAAAGACGCTTGCTCCTGGGGAGGAAAGCTATGGCAAATCTAGACAGCATACTAAAAAGCAGAGACATCACCCTGCCAACAAAAGTACGTATAGTCAAGGCCATGGTTTTCCCAGTTGCAATGCATGGCTGTGAAAGTTGGACCATAAGAAAGGCTGAGCGCAAAAGAATTTAGATCTTTAAACTATGGTGCTGGAGAAGACTCCTGCGATCCCCTGGACTGCAAGGCGATCAAACCGCTCAGTCCTGGAGGAGATCAACCCTGACTGCTGTTTAGAAGGCCAGATCCTGAAGTTGAAACTCAAGTACTTTGGCCACCTAATGAGAAGGAAGGACTCACTGGAGAAGGGCCTAATGCTGGGAAAGATTGAGGGCAAGAGAAGAAGGGGACGACAGAGAATGAGGTGGCTGGATAGAGTCACTGAAGCAGTAGGCGTGAGCTTAAATGGACTCCAGAAGATGGTAGAGGACAGGAAGGCCTGGAGGAACGTTGTCCATGGGGTCATGATGGGTCGGACACAACTTCGCAATTAACAACAACAAACATTTCACAAGATCCTACCTCTGAATACAAACCTCACATGATCGCATGAGGTCTTGAAGAGGGCAGTAGGATTTTGTGGAATTAAGGCAAGTTTGAGAGACCTTATTTGTGTTTGGGGAGGCTGTCCAAGAGATTGAATAAGATACCTACAATTGTCCTAGAAATCTGAAGAGCCAACAAAAGACCTTTAAGGGGGGAAAAAAGGACCCACTCTAGTACCCAGCAAGCCAAACAATCTGGAGAGCAGGTACCTACGTGAACAATTCAAGCAGAATGGGTACCCACAATCATTTGTCACAAGATGTCTGTGTAACACGGTGGGGAGAGAAAGGAAGAATCAAGGTACAAGACCAATCACGAACAAGGGGACATATTCAATTTTGCAGCTACCAAGATTGCTGGACGAGAAGGCACAAAAACAGCCAGGGAAGTGATTGAAGCCTGGGAAACAGGCCCCTAATCAGTCAACAGGAGTGCTGATTTATCACCAGCCTATCAGGTCCTTAGAAGGCGAGGTTTGGGCAGCACAAGCAAATGACAGCTAACAACCTAAATCAACATCTAAAAAGCCACTTACAACAGGCACTATAAATACTACACACAGAACAGCACACACTCTGCTAGAAAGAAGTTTCCTGAGGATGGGCTCCAGCACGGATCCGAAAACTTGGAAGACAAAACCTCTGGTCCTGGTGACCAACCCAGATTGGGCCCTAAATACACAGACTGTCATAATAGATATTAATACTACTACACGTGCCAACTGTCCCAATATTGGAGTTCATAAAGAGCTCCCTTGGTGAATGTTAGGCTTCCTGCCTTACTGGAGAAAGTTTCAGGATTTTTCAACACAAAACAAGAGACACATATATCTCCATCGCCTGGCTATGCTGAGGTGGACAGGAGTTAAGAGTTTGCTATTTTCTCAATGTTAGATGTATTAGAATAATGTAAGAAAATACAATGAAGTTGGTGCAAGAAAGGAGACCATGTTCGCAATGTTAGATGTGTAAGAATAATGAAAGAAAGCACAATAATATTGGTGTAAGAAATCAGATTATTTTCTTGATGTTAGGTATATTACAGTGGTTCTCAACCTTTTTAATGCCGCGACCCCAACCGGTCGTAAGTCGAGGACTAAACCGGTCGTAAGTCAAGGACTAAACCGGTCGTAAGTCGAGGACTAAACCGGTCGTAAGTCGAGGACTACCCAACCGGTCGTAAGTCGAGGACTTTCCCTGCCCGGGAGTGCCGTGCATGAGTGGTTCCGCCCCCTGCGCCAGCTGAGGCGTAGCTGGCAAGTGGCAGAGACGGAGCAAGCCGACCACCAGCTGGCCCAGCCCAAGGGAGGTAAGGCACCCGCCGGAAAAGGGGGAAAAAAATGGCACACAGCCTTGCTTGGCGACCCCCGTGAAATGGTCGATCGACCCCTAATGGGGTCCCGACCCACAGGTTGAGAACCACTGGTATATTAGAATAATGTTAATTAAAAGGACGACAGTACAAGAAAGCAGGAACCACAATTTCCCCAAGCACCATGTACGAGGCGAGTTAAAAATATATATCCTGTATTTCTTCACTTCCTAAATTATCACATTAAAAAGTTCTTGAAAAAATTGGGGCCGGGATTCCAGGTCAGAAAGAAAATCAAACCTAACCTCACCAAAATGCCATTATGTGATTTTTTCCCCCCACAATACCTGTCCACAGCACGAAAGCAGACATTTATATAAAGAAGCTTTATTATGTACATAGGAATGTGATGTTCACACTCTCCTTACAAAGAAATCTCTGAATTGGACAAATAATCTAGAAGTTTCTGCAATTTAACCCAATAAATTCTCACGTATTTACATTCAAGTTTACATATGTACTTCAAGTTCCATATTGGAAGCCGCCAGAACATTTCAGCTTGACTCTTCTTAACTCAAGAATATGTTTGGTGAGGGAGGATGAACATCTGGAGAAGATCTGATGGATATTCTGTCAACAGAATATCAGTTGAAACTGAACCAAGGAAACCATTTTTAAGTGGCTTCTTTCTCTGTTGGGTGACTGTTGTTCTATCGCCACTCAAAACATCTATGGCTGGATGAAAATTTCTCCCCTATTTTTCAAAGTGCCTCTTTAGGGATGGAATCACTGTCAGACATTTCTTAAGATTTTTTTTTCTTTTTTTCATTTTCTTTTTTCATCCATCCAGGGTTATCTGAAACTCTAATTTTATTTACCACAAGCCCTGTCTTGAGTACCAAAGCCGAGTGCTGCTTAGCGAAGGGTGGTGGCGTTTGGTGGCCTCTGTGGTTTCTCCATTTCGGTAGCATTTACAACCCGACGAGGTCAGAAATCCTGATCTTCTCTTCCAACGCAGCTGGGGTTTCAGCGCCTTGAGAAATATTGTTCCCGTGTCCCGCAGTTCCAAAGACAGGCTATAGCAATCATTTGTGCGTTGGCTAGTTCATCATAATCAATACTGCAATCTATTTTACAATAGAAAAATAGTTCATAGCTCGCTCATGTGAAAACAAAGGAACAAACACGCCACAAAATCCAGTTTAGGATGCTTATTCGTCTCGCTTATTCCAACAGGTAAGTTCTCTGGTGCATGGTGCGCATCTGGCAATGGTAACGCCAGTTCTTCCTTTATGGAAAATGTAGATTTAGCTTTCCCAGTTATTCCAGTTTCAATATAAATATTCCCCTCCCCCCCCCCGCCTTATCAAAGAATTAGCATCTGGGAGTGCTTCTAAGGTTGCATCGTAAAATGCAGGGCAATATCCTGAGGAACCTGAAGAACAATAGATGGTCCGTTTCTTTCTTCTGCCCAGATGTTCTTTCATCTGCCCAGAGAGCTATGAGGTGAATCTTATGAAATGGGGAAAGATGTTTTAAGCTGGTTCAAAATGGAGCAGTCCTTCATATACGGAGCGTTAAGAAACAAAACCTGGTCACCGGAGCCTTTGGAAATATGGCCACACGAATGAAGACATCTCCGTTCTTCATGTTGTTTCTTTTGTGGAACCCACAGCAGAAAACTGGGCAGGCACCCCATCTATTTCAGATTCACGAATAAAAATGACTGCATCTCCACTGACATTTATTAGACACTGGGCCTGCAGCAACAAAGAAGGGAAATTCCATTATTATGTCTGATGGACTTTAAAACTGGCCATTTCTGATCACTTACACAGGCTTGTAAAACGTGGTGTGGTTTCAGCAGCTTCACAACTTCTAGGTATACATAGAACTGGGGGAAAATATAGACGATAGCAATAGCCTTACATGGGATTCTGCAGATAATAAGAGCAGCTATCAGGATAAACAGATTTTGGGGTAGCGTTGTGTACTTTCCTGTCTCTATAATTTTAATTATTTTTCAACCATTTATAAGTTGCCTCCATCAACTAAGGGGCTTTTTGCTGGCTGATGTCCAGAATTCATGGCCAGCCTGGTTGGGATTGGCTATGCTTGCAAAGTCTCAAAGGGGTACATCAATGTTCCTCAACTTGGCAACTTTAAGATGGATGGACTTCAACTCCCAGCATTCCCGCGACAGCATAACTGGTCGGGGAATTCTGGAAGTTGAATTCCACACATCTTAAAGTTGCCATGGTCGAGAAACACTGGGGTAAACAGTGAGTGCCCTGCAATCAACAGATTTCCAGGTCTGCTTTAAGGAGTTGGATCACAAATGATGGAACTTATATCACATTTGACCCAAATTAAGAATAGGTCTGTAGGTGGAAAGAAAGAATTATTTTTGGGGTCTCTTTGCTTTTATCTATTCAAAATCACATAACTTTTAGAGCTGCAAGAATTATTTAAACTGTTAATTATAATTTGTTCATACCTAATCCAGGTGGAATGCAAGTGCTAGTTTTGGGGTAAAGAACAGCTCTGGCATGCCTAAGATGACATGCCAGCCCACCGAAGAATGGATTAATCCATAATTTTAATTTAAAAGCTATGTGCCTATAGGTTGGGATTATCTAATGCTTTGGATTTAATTCCAAAAATGTTTTTGGAGTATGAAGGAGCATGAGCCTAGCACTGAACATTACCTCTTAAAGCGGCTACATCCTTTCCCAAGATCATGTAGAACTTATGGACAGCAGCCATACAATCCTAGAAAAAGATACTGCTGTTTTAAGTGTAGCAAATGGCTATGTCCATGAGGCTACATGCTATGAAGCACCTTTTGCAAATTATTTCTGAAGCACTGGACACTGTTTTGCAAACTCATCGGTGCAAAGGTCTCTTCTTTTTGGTTCTGAAAATTCCAGAAATAAGTTATGAATGGTTTAATTTGGCCATCATCTTCTCTGTCAACGCTGCTAACATCAGATGTTTTTGCTTTGACAACAGATGGAGATGCAACCATTTTCTTCTTATGTTTTACTTTTAGAGTTAGAGTTAGATCAGGGGTAGTCAACCTTGGCTCTTTTATGACTCGTGGACTTCAATTCCCAGAATTCCTGAGCCAGCCCTGAGTTAGATGATGCTGGGGGGAGGAATGTGCATGAGACTTTAGCTAGACATAACAATACTGGACCTAGCGTGAGAAACAAGGTTATTGAAATAAGAGATGATAAGAATTGGCCGGGGCTTGAGAACTGGAGGGAAAGCCTGCATTTCAAACTAATTGGAGAATGTGATTTATGACTGTTAATTAGAGGAGGGAATTGTGCTTTGATACTATGTGCTCAGGGGAGGGGTATCCAGTTTTTGGCTTCGACTGTATTAGTGCCGATGCCATGCTTCTCAAATAAAGATTCTTTAAGGTAAACAATGCCTCGAAGTTCTTTGAAGAGTTTCATCTGTCGGAACCACGACATGAAGCCAAAAACTTAAAAGAACCTCCAGATGGACATCAGGAGGATGTAGTAAGGGTAGCATATTTACCTGGTTTTTGTTTGGGTTCTCCATAAACACACATTGCTTCATGATGTAGGAGACCACAGCATTTCCCCCAAGGGCTGCCACGTGAGCTCGGACCATCGCAAAAACCTCAGCCACAAATGCATGCAGGAACCCACTCACTCCACCTTCCTATAAAAGAAACACAGACAAGTTGTTTGAATACAGAATAACAGAATTGGCAGGGACCTTAGATCAGGGCTTTTCAACCTTTTCACCTATTGTGCCATTTTTATGGCAATATCCGAGTACCACCAGTCACCTAGCAAGGTGTCAAAAACTTGATACCAAAAAAAAGGGAAAAAAGTGATAAAGTATAGGTAGTCCTCGACTTACAACAGTTCGCTTAGTGACTGTTCAAAGTTACAATGGCACTGAAAAAAGTGCCCCCCAAGCCACAGCCGAGCAAGACACCTGCCTGCCCACCCGGCGGCGCTCTTCCTCCTGTCCGAGGTTTTCATTGTTGTGAGCATTTCTGTTGAGGATTGGCAGCGGGGGTGGGGTGGGGGGTGTTTGGCTTTTATTCCCCCCCCCCCCGTCTCCTGTGTGGATGCAGCAGATTTTGGTCACTTCACATGACCCTGGGACACTGTGACCGTCATAAATATGAATCAGTTGCCAAGCATCTGAATGTAAATCACAAGATCCTGGAGATGCTGCAACATTCCAGCTGATCGGCGCTTCTTCTGGGCTCAGGATCAGCGCCGAGCTACAGCTGGAGCCTGGTGCTGATCCTGGCCCTTCCGCTGAGCCCTGACAGTCCTGAAAAAGCGCCGATCAGCTGGAAAGCGGCACAGATCCTGGCGCTTCCGCTGAGCCCTGACAGCCCTGCAGCTCCAGCCATCTCTCGCTCAGGCTTGTGCGGTGCTGCCACCGGTTCAGCTCATTCCCCTCCCCCGCTACCACTTTTCTAGGATGGTCGCGTACCACCTGCCAGGTGCCAATGTACCACAGGTGGTACCCGTACCACTGGTTGAAAAGCCCTGCCTTAGAGGTCTTCTAGTCCAACCCCCTGCTCAGGCAGGAGATCCTTTACCATTTCAGACAAATGGCTGTCCAATCTCTTCTTCAAAGCCTCCAGTGATGGAGCAGCCACAGCTTCTGAAGACAAGTCGTTCCACTGATTAATTGTTCTCACTGTGAGGCAACTTCTCCTTAGTTCCAGGTTGGACCTCTCTTTAACAATCTTCCACCTGTTAATTCTCGTTCTGCCCTCAGGTTCTTTGGAGAATAGGCCGAGCGCCCTGTGTGTGACAGCTCCTCAAATACAGGTAGTCCTTGACTTACGACCATAACTGAGCCCAAAATTTCTATTGTTAAGCGAGACAGTTGTTAAGTGAGCTTTCCCCCATTTTTATGACCTGTCTCGTCACTGCTGTTAAGTGAATCACTGCAATTGATTTAAGTTAGTAACCCTGGTGTTCGGGGAATCTGGCTCCCCCCCCTTGACTTCGCTTGTCAGAAGCTGGCAAAAGGGGATCACATGACCCCACGACACTGCAACCGTCACAAATAGAAACAACCAGTTGCCAAGCATCTGAATTTTGATCACATGATCTGGGGATGCTGCAAAGGTCAGAACTGTGAAAAAGGCTCGTAAGTCACTTTTTTTCAGTGCCATCCGTTGTAACTTTGAGCAGTCACTAAATGAACTGTTGTAAGTTGAGGACTATCTGTATTGGAAGACTGCGGTCATGTCACTCTTAGTCCTGCTATTCATTAGACTACTAGACATACCCGGTTCCCGCAATTGTTCATTGTATGCTTTAGCCTCCAGCCCTCCCCCAGTCATCTTTGTTGCTCTTATCTGCATTCTTTCTAGACCAGTGATGGCGAATCTTTTAGAGACCGAGTGCCCAAATCGCAACCCAAAACCCACTTATTTATCTCCGGGTGCCAGGTGGGCGTGGCCCACTGGGCGGGCGTGGCTGTGGTCATGGCAGACTAGGTGTGGCCAAGGTAGGCGTGGTCACCTCGATGTTGCTCATGGGGAGGGACACCTGTGGGGGCCAGGCAGGGTTGGGGGAGATCCAGGGGATCTCTGGCAGGTGGGGCGGTGGGCAGGAGGCTCATCCTGCGGGGTGAGGCGAGGCAAGGCGAAGTAGGGTGGGGGTGCCATTTTCGCAGAGCAAGGCGAGGTAGGGGCCGGGGTGGCTGCTGGCTGACATCATCGGCCCTCCGCACACAGAGGCCAGCGAGTGTATGGGGGCCGACAGTGTCTGTCAGCAGCCACAGCCCCACTCTGGGGTTCCACAGCCTGCCGCCAGCAGTTCAGAGAAGCCGCCTCTGAGCTGGACGGCTGGCCAACAGCTGAGGAGGCGAAGCAGTGGGTCGTGCCCAGAAAAAGGAGAGCATGTGAGGCCAGGAGGGATGGGACGGGGGGGGAGGCAAACCAGCCATGCTGGGATGTATCCGGGCACGTAGGACCTCGGCGAGTTAGCGGGCAGCTGGTTGAAGAGGGGCAGTTGCCATGGTGCGCGTGCCCACAGAGAGGGCTCTGTGTGCCGCCTCTGGCACGCGTGCCATAGGTTCACCACCACTGTTCTAGACTCTCAACTGAAGGGAAAAATAAGTGGTGTAAACACGTAGGACTTTGAAATTGTTCTAATTAATTGAGAGCTGTGTCCACTGTCTCAAAAGAAATAGCCTTCTCATACTGAACTCATAAAAAATGGTTGGGATATTTACACTTCAGCTTCCCCAGTGAGAAAAGCCTGATTTATTATCAAGATAAACAGGTTAAAATCACAATAAAGAGATGGATCTAGCACTTTTTAAAAAAAAAAAAAATACCCCACTGTTTATTTTGTACCTTTTATAGGAAAGACAGATATGTGTATAGCTCTGCTACAGAATTTGAAAGCCAATCCCAAGAGATGGACTAAAATGTGATGGAATGTGAAACATGCAGAACAATTTAGGGTCAGCCTGAAGGTAAAAAAGATTGCCCAGAGAACAATAAATATGAAAAAGTACTCAGGGAGGTGGAGCCCCACAACAGCAAGCAAGCTACAGGCTCTGCTACCATTGAAAACCATAGCCATAGGAGAATGGGTGGCAGAGTCTGGGGGTGGAGTCAAGAGAGTCATCAGCCTAGAGTCACTATGTAGCCACAAATTGACCAGGTCCAACCCCTCTTGAATTCCATTGACCTTTAGCTCCAAAATAGTGGTAACCATTAATTGATTTCTATGCATTAGCATGTATAATAATAAATCAATTTAACTGGAACTTCACATGTGGTCCTGGTCTTTTGCACCTGACAACAACTGATCTTAAATGGTGGGTTCTTTGGTGTTCTCCGAGTTTGTGGTTTTCTTGCAGGTTAATAATGAAGGGCAATTAAATGTCTGCAAGAAAACCACCAAGCTGAGAGAGCACCAAGGATGCCACAGTTCAACCCAGACCTTCAAATATTTTCTTTTATTGGTCTTAAATTGAATCTGGTCCTGATAGTTCATGTTCTCTCCTAGTTGAGAGCCTTCAGATCTTTAGATGATCTTCCTGCCAACCTGCGGGAAGAACTTCTTTTCCATCAGTGTTACTTTGCTAATGTAGATAATGTCTATAAGGATATCGTGTCAAGAGAGGGACAAGAAACTGGAACTTGACTAGCATTCAATTTATATAGTTCTCCAGAGGAGAACCAGCCGATGAGATCTACAACAACCCGTTCTACTGGAGCAAGTGGGGTAGGGTAGTCCCACTGGGGTGAAACGGCTCCTCAGATACTCTGGAGCCATGCCACATTTCAGGCCTTAAGTCCATGCCATACTTCAAACCTAAACTCAATCCTGCCTGCCATTCCACACGGGAGAAATACACTTGTCAGCTCACCTCTCGCAAAGAAGTGGTTTCTCGAATGAAGAACATGTTGATGATTCCAAGGTATTTCGTTATTTTTGCCCCGGGGATGAAAGAAAGCGGCGTCATCTTCACAACGGGCACAGTGGAGTTCATTCCTGTGGGTCCCAGGTGGTTACGGCACAGTCCTTCGGTCAGCGGACTTGGCTTGTCAAGGGAGATGGCTACACAGAGCAAAGGGAGAGAGGGAGAGAAGCTCAACTGAAACTCCGGGCAAACCGGACAGAGGCAGTGCCAACACAGCGACCCCTTTCCACATGGGTGTGAGAGAGCTGGGTGACCACATTCAGCTGCCTGTGATGCTCAGCCAAAGTAAAGCAAATCATCATGCAGCACATGCAAGTGAGAGGCCAGAAGCTTGGTCGGGGTTTATTTTTGGGAGGAAAGGATCATTCCTGCAAAAGGAAACACGGAGGCCAGCAGCTGCACAGACAGATGATTTGGTTATAAAGTGGATCTACAGAAAAGTGTGCGGGGGGCGGAGGAGGAGGGGAGAGGGAGAGGAGAGGGTGGAAGGGTTCGAAAAGGGAGTCAAAATTTGATGAACATTTTCTGCAAGAAGGAACGACAAGAGTCTACAGGAAAGAGTGTGAAAGTTGACGTGTTTCTCCGTTCCACTTTTTTTTATTTTTTGCTGTTTTTGCAAATTTGGTCTAAGCTCTTCCGGCTTTCATCTAAAACTGTCATCTTAAGCAAGTAAAGCAAAACCCAGGGACGGACTTCAATAAGAATTAAAAAACAACAACTCACCATGGATTAATCCAGTAATTACAGCCATGCAGGTCACACAGGGAATCCTTGCATGTTATGAGTAATTTCACCGAGGTATACATACATATTCTGCCATGCAGATTATGCATATCTTTGGGATGGGTTGGGTGGGATACAATTCACAAGCCTATTGGCCACCTGTACATATACTGGCAATTATCTGGGGAGCCGCGTGCTCCAAAATTAACCGGGTTTTTTTTGGGAGACAGACCTCGTGCGTCTGCAGCTTTCACACTCGGGACACTGATTTTTGCAACGCCACTACTGAATACGAAGCTCTGCCCTTTGCCACTGAGAGATCAGAATCTAGGCTCCCAATGATCAGAATGGGGTAGAAAGGGCTGCCTACTTGTCTTAATTGATCCACGCCTTATGGTTTGAGCTTTCAGTTTAATGAATTCTATCCAGCTGTTGCATCTGTCTGCAAAGGAACTGTAATCAACTGAAGTGGCTGGAAACACAGACAGAGAAACAAAAAGGGAAAAAAAAGGAAAAATATGGATGATGCCCCTTTTGCCCATTGAAGTGTTCCTTCCTTCTGATGAG